GGCTGAAGGCCATCCCCAGCTGGCTCACAAAGGCTTTATTCTCCAGAGCAGCATATTTGGAACACATCACTTTTTGCAAAACCAGTAAGCCCTGATTTTCTGTCTTTAGCAGTGGATCAAAATAATATTGGGAATATTCTAGTGAACGACCATTTTACATGGTATGTGCAGGCATATCCAAAGTAAGATCAGAGGCCATCCCAGTTCAAGTGCTATGGGAGACATTTTTTCATGTATGGATTTCTAGCTTGGATACATTCTGACCAAAGAAGGGATTTTGAAAGGGGTATTTTCCTCTTGAAGGGAGCATAGCATCTGAGCAAGAATTACAAACTCCTGAACCACCTTTTATCACCCACAAGGAGATCTTGAGGTAGAACAGTTTAATCAAACATTTCTGAACATTAGGAGGACTCATGCTCAGAGTATAAGTTGAACTGGAGCCAGCATGTTGCATCATTGGTGTATTAATTCAATGCCACAAAGAATGTTTCTATAGGAATTGCATTGTGCTTCAAGAGAACCCACATTACCCTCAGACTTATGCTTCAGTGTGTCAGCTGAACTAACCAATTACCTCAACTTATGCTTAGTTGCTCAACTAAGAGAGAAATTAAGAGATACTTATAACCCAATATGGTTCTAATTCATGACTCAGACAGAAATAAGCACCAACATGATCCTCAGCAACACACTCTAGAGGAGAAAGTTCTGTTATGAAACTTGTGTTGCTGGAAAGCACAAGATGGAAGACTGACCCAAGATGCTACTTATCATACTGCTAGCGGAAAAGTCAGAAGAACTCTGCCAATCTACAGGAGCAAACCTAGGATTAGATCAGTTCTAATAAAGGTAGAACCAAAGCATCTTCTCCTATCCATACAGCAGTGTTTCCCAAACTTTTGATACCTGGGGCACACTTTTTTTTCTGGATTAAAATTGGTGGTACACTTTGTTCACTGGATCCAGTCCATGGACCCGATCCCATGCATAGTACTGATCCAGGCATGGCCTGCTCCCTTTGTATGGGGCCAATGTGTCTGGGACCTGATCCCTTTGTGTGGGGCTGGTCCAGCCATTCAGGGCCAGTCTGGCGGGAGTGGTTCTGGCATGGCTGGAACCTCATTTAGCTGTGCAAGGTTGGCCCAGCCCGGGTCTCATTTGGCCCATTTTTACAGCATATTTCTGTTGCTATTGTGAAACACTAGTGTGTTGGCACACCCTTTGGGAATCACTGACATAGACTGTTTGAGACAGTATGTAACTTCAGCCCTTAGCAAGAAGAGCCTGCTAGAAACCACCACTCAAATTTTGCAATAGAACTTCAGGGAATAATCAGGTTCTACCCTATGCATTCCCCAAAGAATCACCAATGATGCAAAGCAATTCAACTAACCTAGGAGGGTTGTTACAGCATATAAGGTGCCCCAACGGTCACAGAAGCCATCCGGACTGACTTGACTTGAACCTATGCATGTAATTAGGAGCATCTGTGTAATGAGGAGAATCCCATAATGTATCCTAGAATGTAGATCACATTAGAGCTTCAGTCTCTCACATCTTCTAAGAGCTCTGGTTCTTCTGTCTTAATGGCCGTGGCAAATGCATTTATGCCCACTGAGGTCACAATGATGTCCTCACTATGCCAGCCCAGAGAGAGAAGTCCATTCCACCTTTTTCACCAGATCTCTTTGAAAAAAGAAAGGATTTTGGCAAGACCTGTATGTTACTCGACAATGCAAACACACATGCAGCTGATGATCCCTGTCTCCTAGAAATTCCAACATGAAAACAGGATACAGAAAGGACTGTGCCAATATATGAAAGTCTTTTAAGGGAAGTTTCACTGTCACTACTCTAAAAAACACTCCCATTTGCTCATGTAATCCTCACTCTCAATAGGCAGAGTTATCAGGATGGAAAGAAGGTTAACTTACCATGGAGCCATGAAAGTTAGCCAGGAACAGTACACTTACCTCACAGGCTTGTGGCAACGGTAGTAAGCTGTTTAAGACCCTCTGAAAAAGAGGTGAAAATAATACAGGTAGTCCTCGGACTTACGACACAATTAGTTCCTGAAAATCGCATCTTAGGTCGAAACGTTGCAACTTGGAACCAATTTTCTCATAAGAAACAATGTTATAAAGGGGGGATTAGTTTCAGAACCAAGGCCCGATTTTCACTAAAAATACCCCAGAATTTTGTACTCGATCAATTATAAATGAGTAATATAGCTACATTAATGTATTTATATTGTAAATATCAATCATATCGATTTGGAAGGACTTCTTTGAGGTGACTTTCCTGGACTTTTTGAAGAGTTCTTGGCTTGAGTCGTCTCAGGAGTCTTGTCTGCAGGTTTTTCTAGAGTCTTGTCTGCTTTCTTAAAGAAAGTGTCCAAGGAAGTTTGGACAGATGTTCTCCAGGGAGACGAGTGACACAGTGAACATGTTCACTGGAATGACGTTGCATTGGATCAAACGTTGTAAAGTCAAAACTGATGTCATAAAGTTGAAACAGGGTGTCAATTTATAAATGTTGCAAGTTCGAAACGTCGTAACTCAAAACGTTGCAAGTCGAGGACTGCATGTATACGTGTAATTTGCCAGGAGGAGGAAGAGGGGGTGCAGTATGTTTATTAATGTTCTGTTTTGTGCTATAGAGGAAGGAGATCTCAGGCACCAATTACTGATGTACTATAGGAAGAAAAAACCCCAAGGCAGACAACTTTGGTTGAAACTCTGCATGTGGTTGCTTTGGCTGTAATGAAATATTGCTATCTTTATTGTGTGACTAAAGGGCAACAGAATTATTTCATAGATTTCATAGACATTAGGGCAGGAAGGGACCTCGGAAGATCATCGAGTCCAGCCCTCCACCCGAAGGGCAGGAAGTCAGCTGGGGTCATAGGATCCCAGCAAGATAAGCATCCAATTTACTCTTGACGGTGTTCAATGTAGGTGCTTGAACCACCTCCGATAGCAGGCTATTCCAGACCTTGGGGGCTCGGACAGTAAAGAAATTCTTCCTTATGTCCAGCCTAAAATGGTTTTGCAGTAGTTTATAACCATTCGGCCTCGTCATCCCTTGGGGCGCTCTGGTGAACAAACGTTCCCCCAGACACTGGTGGTCACCCCGATAAACTTATAGGTGGCCACCAGATCACCTCTGAGCCTGCGCTTTTCCAGGCTAAAGAGCCCCATAGCTCTCAGCCTCTCATCGTAAGGTCTGTTTTTCTGACCTCTGATCATGCACGTGGCTCTTCTCTGGACTCTCTCAAGCTTCTCCACATAGTTTTTGAATTGTGGAGCCCAAAACTGGACGCAGCTGCGGCCTCACCAAGGCCGAGTACAACGGGAGAACGACGTCCCGGGATTTACTTGAAAAGCATCTATGGATGCAAGCCAGCGTTTTGGTCGCTTTACTAGCCGCAGCATTGCACTGCAGGCTCATGGTCATCTTGTGGTCAATGATGACCCCCAAGTCTCTTTTTTCCATAGTGCTAGCCAGCGTAGGACTGCTGAGCCTATAAGGATGCTGCAGGTTTTTCCTCCCAAGGTGGAGAACCTTGCATTTTTCAGTGTTAAACACAATCAGGTTCTTGTCCACTCATTTGCTGAGCCTGTCCAGGTCAGCCTGGATCGCCCTCCTGTCTTCAGGTGTGGATGTTTTGCCCCAAAGTTTGGTGTCATCAGTGAACTCGGCCAGTCTGCTTCTGACTCCAATGTCCACATCATTAATGAAGATGTTGAACAATCTGGGTCCAAGGACAGAGCCTTGCAGGACCCCACTGGTCGCAGGGCATCATGACGATTGACTTCCATCAATTACAACCTTCTGGGTCCGACCACGGAGCCAATTTCCCAGCCAGCATATTGTGGTGGGCCCAAGGCCACAATTGGCCAGTTTTGCCAAGAGGTGATCATGGGATACCAGATGGAAGGCTTTTTTGAAGTCAAGAGATATGACATCAATCTCTTCTCCCCTGTCCAGATGATAGATCACCTGGTTGTAAAAGGAAATGAGATTGGTCAAGCAAGACATACCCACAACAAACCCACGCTGGCTATCCCTCAGGATGTTGGTGTCAGCCAGTCCATTAAGGATGCCTCTTTAATAAACTTTTCTAAGACCTTCCCCAGGATAGAAGTCAGGCTGATGGGCCTATAGTTTGCTGGATCCACTTTCCTCCCTTTCTTGAAGATAGGCACCACATTGGCCTTCTTCCAGTCTTTGGGCACTACACCAGAGCGCCAGCAGTTCTCAAAGATCCGTGCCAGAGGCTGAGCTATGATGCTCACCAGCTCCTTGAGTACCCTGGGGTGTAGACTCTCAGAGCCAGCTGACTTGAAGGTATCCAGCCTCTCAAGGTGTTCCTTCACAAGGTCAGCATTGATGGAGGGCAGGGGATCTCCCTCACCTGGACCTCCCTGTCCCGTAGTGGGCATGGGCGTCCCATGGGACTGATAAAAGACTGATGCAAAGTACCCATTTAATAGGTTGGCTTTTTCCTGGGCGTCAGTTGTGTAGGGCACTCAATGTGTCCTGTGTGAAAATATTAACACAAGAACTTTGCTTGTGGCCACTGCATAGCTCAGCTTGTCCTTAATAATGAGGACTCTTCTCAAGGGTCTTATATGCCACTGCACCTTGTTCACAGAATAACAACATGGCTCTGCCATCCATGCAAGCAGCACTAGTAAAGCTGTAATCACTATAGCTATAATAGGAGCCTAAAGACCATGGAGCCTGGTCTTGCTGTGGCCATATCAGGAGCCATATTAAGCACCTAATATATTAGGTTCACTATAAATATTTTATTTATATCACTATATATCACTGTCTAATAATATATTAGGCTGTCACTGTAGCCACCATGGTGAGAGGCAACAGAACTATGTGAGACTGCCTGGAAAGAGCAGGGTGCTAAAAAGCAATGCAAAGACAGTTATGGAAAATGGGCTAGAGATGGTGTCACAGTGCAAGGCAATGACAAAAAGATGGCATTACGACAAGAGGCAATGTAACTGGTGGGAGCACAGCTAAGGATACTAACAGAGCGGAGCCAGCTTTGCTTTCAGTCAGGTTGGGACGTTGCTAACTATTGCCAACAAACTTGAGCAGGGTGTAGTGAAGGAGAAAGGAAGTGTCAACTAGACATTTAGCCAGAACTTCTGATGGACAAAGGAATACAACCTGGGGTGTGGTACAGATGCCTGTTTTATTTATGTCTGCTCTATATAGGGGTGACCTCTTGTTTTCCCTACTTCACCTTATGTTCCTGTTTGCCTCAGTAACATCTTAACAACAACCTCTGAGAGAGAGGAGTCAGTGCCAGTTGTCTGCAGTGCCCAGGGAAGCTGGTTATTTATCCCAGGTGTCAGGCTGGTCTCAACATCGCAGCCTTATTCATTTTAAAGGGAACGGCTTGACATTTGACTCTGGCCCTTTCAGCTGCTGCTGGTGGAGGGATTCACCGTCATGGGAGGAAGCCAGCATCAGCGCACAGCTTGTGCCTCCTGTTCTGCCCCGTAGCCCGTGTCCAGCAGGGCAGGGCTCCCCTGCCTGCAGCTGCAGCAAGTGGCTAGTGTGGCCAAGTCTGCTTATTATAAGTAGAATTCGGCTTCTTTTTAAAAGTCGCTTTAATTTTTTGAGAGGTGGGTTGATAAGCACCCCACTCCCCTCTCTTTGAAGTGGGTTGGCCTGGTTTTTAAAGGCAGTACCTTTTTTTTCTCTCTCGAGACTTGGCAAAGCGGCAAGCGGCACTGCAAAGTCTAAAGAAAGAGAAGCCCGGCACGGCCGGGGAGGCCCTTCCCTTCCTGTCACATGCGACGTCCTCCTTCTCTAGGCTCAGGGACTCATTTTTCACATGGGGTTTGGCTG